ATGCTAACAATATTCACAATCAATATTGTTTAAAGTTTTGTACATTGCTATATTCATATTGATTATTTCTATTAACCATTTATTTTTCGCAGATTTCAACACATTTATTTTATTGTTATTATTTTATTGTTATTTGCTTTTTCTCAGTTGGCCTATATTATTTCTTTGTAAAGCGCATAGGGGCAATGTGCAATATGCGCTATATGAATATAACATCATTATTATTAATATTATTATTATTTATATTTATGGATGAATTATGCACTTATCAATATTCAGACTTCATAATTTTAATCATTTAATGAAAAAACCCAAAGTGTTAATAAAAGGGGAACAGTACATTACTACTGAATATTTAATGTAATTTTCATATGGATTTAATTTTACTTGTTGCTAAGCAACACCACAATGTTAGCTCTAGTTAGCATGTACTCAGTGCTTATAATATGGTAATAATTCGCATATAGCATATTTCATCCTTTAATTGTTCATAGATTTACCAATGTCATTTCAGTAGGTCTATATATAAATTTGACTGTATTTCATTGTCACTAAGTGCCTACAACCACAGTAATTAGTTGGAAATTAACCAAAAAACCATGTAATGCATATATTTTCTGGTTTTCATTTTATAGCTTATTGTTAAACACAAAAATCCTTAAACAAACAATACATTTCTACAACTGAATTTAACTAAAAACCTACAGTAAGCTTAAAAGTAATTAACAAAGAGGAATTTAGGAAAAGTGATTATCAGAGCCACCACAAAGTGTGTTTATATCAAATTAATACTTCATCAAATACAAGTTCACAAATACTCTGAGTATATTAGAATTAACAAAGCTTCAACAACTTAAAACTAAAAGAGAGTACTAACTGAGAAAACAGAGAAAATTTTGAAGATTAAACTACTTGTCATAATGAATGTCACTTTAGCCATAATTAAAAAGTTGCTATGGTTTCTTCCAGGTAGAGTAGATGTTTTTAAGCAACCTACTTCCAATGGAATGTGTTCACATGTTATTGAGGCACATGGGATTGGTAGGTTATCTTCTACAAGAGAGCCATATCAAGTGGATATAAAAATATACTGTACAGTAAAATACAACTGAATCAATCCAAAATGGTGCGAAAGGCATTTCAAAGGCACGCTGCTAGTAATATAGCCAATTCATGGGAGTTGCCCAAATATGGTCATGTGCCTAAATATAGGAAATAATAATGTATTAAGAATAGCATTTGGCCAGACATGGAAAATATTGTTCTTAGAATAATGAATGCTAATGATGACAGGATATGACTAAGCTCTTGAGAACAAACAGCATTCTTGTAAACTATGTAAAAGCAATTATGTACAACATACTTGTAAAAGTGTTTTTTTTTTTTCATTATAATTCCATCCATGGCATATCCACCAGTTTCAAGTGATACTTTTAAAATAATGCAACATAATCATAAAATCTTAAATAACTAGCAATTAACATGCAATAATCAGGGTATGAATTTCTTCAAAATGATTTACTACAGCAATTGCTGTCAGTGGTGTGGGAAACTTGAAATTTGATAATATATTCATTATTTTCATTAAATAAGCATTTGCATGTAAAATTTCTCATTAAAAATCTCAAATAACCCTAAGTAATACGCTAATTGATTTTTTTTTTCTTTTTATAGATGTTTATACCAAATTTATGTTTGTATAATCATGCAGCTCTACTATCGCTCAAAGTATAATTATTAAATTGTAAAGATAATTAACATAGTTAGGGTAATTAATATGGTTAGCATAATAATGATTAAAACAGTTAACAGACTAGGGAAATTAGATCGTTGGGGTGACTAATATTTATAAATTTAACGCATAATCAATTATTGCAGCATTAATTTACCAAGTGTTTGATTTGTTATTTAATTTCTGAAAAGATGATTCTAAATCAAGTTCACTCTTCTGTGTGCTCATTTTCCTGTTGTTGATATTCATTATTTTTCTTTTTCTTCTTTTTCTTCCTTTTTTTCTTTTCTGCAGGTTGTGAATTTGAAATATCATCAACAGGATGCACTTTGTTGGATGGATGTACTATGGATGGCGCTGGTTGTCAGATCTGTTGAGGTTGGAGTTGGATACTGGAGTAAGTTGTCTCCTGGTCTGGGTGGTGGATTACATTTTCCTTGTCAGTTGGTAAATTGCGAGTCAAATCCAGATCTGCATACTGTAGGCCCTCTACATTCAACTATAGTTCACATATAAGAATAGTTAATAAATCAAATATGGTGATGACCAAATAATAGCACAATTTAGCAGCACTGCTAAGTATAAAATTTATTAAATCTTTTTTATCTTTATAAAATTTAGTTTACTTAAAAATTGTATGAAAAAAAATTGCAGTAAAGTTTGAATTAATAAGTGCCCAAGGGATTAATAAAGAACTGAAGTATTTTATGCCTGTAAGATTGTAGTTGATCTGGAATTTAATACCTGCTGAATTGCAATAGAATTTAAATATATAAATGGTCACAAGATTTAAAGAAAAAAAAGAGTTGATTTCTTTTTCAAAGGCAGTGGCTATTGTTACACCAGTAATTCCTGATCTTGATTGAATGCTACTGTCCTATCGAATATATACACAATAGAGCATCCAATCAGAAATTAGAATTTATTTAAAACTGAGTGTAATAATAGCCACTGACTTGCCTGCAGGATTACATTGGATTTTAGTGTATAAATATCTATTGCAAAGAGGTTTACATTTATAAATGCCCGCAAGATTGCAAATGAGCTAAGATATT